CTTGGCGGGAAATTTAAAATTTTTTATTTTTAAACTTTCAAGTGGGTTACAAGGGGTAATTTTAAATTTCGCGCCACTAAGTGTAAGTTGGTTGGTGTTCTACTTTACCGACCTTGATAATAATGCTCCTATAAAAATGCCGGTAAATTACCGACTGATGGTAAGTTACCGACTGATGGTAAGTGTTACCATCAGTCGGTAATGCAGATTTCTTCTACAATTTTTGGTCGGGTCGGTATGTCAGGGTTCTGCATTACCGACCGATGACCCACTTGGGTTATGTTAACTTCAAGTTATCCCGGTAGTCGGCGTTTACTACATTGTAGTTGCGCGCGCCTGTGGAGTAGTGGGGAGTTGCGCAGTGGGGAGGTGAGTATAGTGGGGACTGGGGTATAAGTTACGGAGCGCGGGCCACAAACATCAGTTGCATCTTGAATGGTGCAGCAGTCTACTTCCAGGTTTTCAGGGTTCCAGAGTTTCTTTCCAGAGTTTTCAGAGTTTCTTTCCAGAGTTAATTTTCAGAGTTTTTTTTCGTATCGAATTTAGGAGTTATTGATTTTTTATTATAGGTTTTTTTTTAATTTTGTGTTCTAGTTTGCATTAGTTTTAAGTTGGTGGTGGTTTTTTTTTCTATTTTAGGGTTTTTTTGTTCTATTTTGTATTAGTTTTTAAGGTGGTGTTTTTTTTTCTATTTCAGGATTTTTTAGTTTTAGTTGTTTATTTTCAGGATTTTTTTAGTTTTAGTGGTTTATTTTCAGGATTTTTCAGGTTTTTCTTAGTTTTAGACGTATTTTTTTTTAAAGTTTCTTTCAGATTTAGCTATCAAGATGCCAAAGTGCAAATCGCGAAAGAGGTCTCGTCAACGTATTGACATGGAAGAGTACAATGAAATGTGTCAAGAATCTGACAAATTCATTACAACAGCGGAACGTCAGCTCATTTCAACGATGGCTATGACTGCTGAGGATAAAATGGTTACAGCATTCCAATGGCAGAACAAGTGTCAGCGGTATATAAACATTTTCCGAAACTTTTTACGTGAGTCTGATTTTTCATCATCTCAAAGATCTAGGTGTTTAAATTTAAGACAAAAAATGGAATACTTGCTCTACCATTTTGATACTCTAACGAAACGTGGTGCGGGTGTTGAAGTAGTGAATGAAGGAATGAAATGGGTGGATTTTGAAGAAGCGTTTGAGGGTCGTTTACAAAATAGTGCTGTAATGAATTTAGATTACAAGGATATTAATGAATTCCTTGATGATGCCTTTACTTTATTTAAAGTTAACATTGAAAAAGCTTTAAACAGGTTTGGTCCGCTAAAAGTTTACACCGTATTGTTCGCGAAATTTGTTAAAGATTCCATTGATGGTAAAACCCAAGAAATATCAGATTTAAAGACATTCATCGCGAAAACCGGTGACATTTTAGTTACAACCCCATTAGAAGAGTGGTACAATGTTTATGTTAAACAAGTAACCTTAAAAAGAATGGAGGAATTCCAAGAAAAAGATTCTAATTGGAGACTTCATTCTATTGAAAGGTTGGAGGTTAACATTAACAAGTACAATCCTATGCGCGCAAGTTCTTATATCAATTTGCCAACTTCTATCAATCGAAAGCATGCCTGCATTAATGTCCAAAATGCTGATAACCAGTGTTTTAAATGGGCAATATTGTCAGCACTGTACCCAGCAGACAAACACGCAGATCGAGTTTCAAAATATAGACCCTATGAAGATACACTCAATTTTAGTGGTATCGAATTTCCTGTTTCTCTCAAAGACATTTCTAAATTTGAAACCCTAAACAACATTTCCATCAACTTGTATGGTCTTGTTAAAAGAGATGAGAAGTTTACAGTTTCACCTCTTCATCTTTCATCTCAAAAGAAGATGAATCACGTCAATCTTCTTCGAATTGAAGATCACTACATAGATGAAAATCTAAGTGAAGACGATGATGATGAAACTGATATACCTCTCATATCGTTTAACTACCATTATGTCTGGATAAAGGACTTGTCGAGACTTGTTAGCTCAGACTTATCAAAGCAGAAAAATAAAAAATTCATTTGCGATCGTTGCTTACATTATTTTCTGAATCAAGAAAAGCTCACTCAACATGAAGAGCATTGTCGAAAAATGAACGACACAAAGATTAAATTACCCAAAAAAGGTCAAAATACAGTCGAGTTTAAAAATTTTCAAAATAAGGAACGTGTTCCCTTCATCATTTATGCCGATTGTGAAAGTCTGTTAATTCCCTCGGCAGCACCCCAAGAACCAAAAAATACTGAGGTGTTTCAAAACCATAAAACTCTCAGTATTGGTTATTACTTAAAGTGTAGTTTCGATGACTCTTTGTCTGTGTACAAAGCATCACCTAGAGATGAGGAAAATCCAGCTAAATGGTTTTCTTTAGAATTAAAGAACTTGGCTGATAATCTAGATTCCATATTCAAGAACCCAGTTCCCATGGAAACATTAGGTCCACAGCAGTTGGCAGCTTTTCGAAATGATATGACTTGTCATATTTGTAAAAAGAAAATCGCGTATGGGGATGTGAAAGTACGAGATCATTGCCATCTAACAGGGAAGTACCGCGGACCCGCTCATCAAGATTGTAATATTAATTACCATGAATCGCAGATCATACCTGTTGTCTTTCATAACCTAAGTGGCTATGATGCACACTTTATCATTGAATCTATTGCTACAGAATTTGATGGTACTGTTAATCTACTTCCTATTAACAAAGAAAAGTACATTAGTTTTACTAAAAATGTAAAAGGTGGTTTTCTAAAATTTCGTTTTATTGATTCTTTCAAGTTTATGGCATCATCTCTGGATAAGTTAGCATCCTATCTCGAAGAATACAAAATTGTAAATTCCGTTTTTTCAAACTACAGCGACGATAAAATTCAATTGTTGACGCGAAAAGGAGTTTTTCCTTATGAATACATTGATTCAAGGGAAAAACTCGACGAAACAGAGTTACCGCCGAAAGATAAATTCTACAGCACATTGAACGATTCAAATGTTTCCGATGAAGACTATGCACATGCGCAGAAAGTTTGGAGTGAATTTAGTTGTCAAAATCTTGGTGATTATGTATACTTGTACATGCAAACCGACATACTGTTACTCGCGGACATTTTCGAAAATTTCAGAAACCAGTGTTTAATCTCGTACGGTCTAGATCCAGCACACTATTATACTACACCGGGTTTGACTTGGGACGCAATGTTAAAGTATACGGAAGTAAGACTTGAACTCTTGACAGACATTGACATGGTAATGTTTATTGAACGAGGAATAAGAGGTGGTGTAAGTCAATGTACAAATCGATATGCAAAAGCTAACAATCATTACATGGAACAATTTGATAAAAATGAGGACACGTCTTACATCGTATACTTTGACGCAAATAATCTATACGGTTGGGCAATGGTTCAACCGCTTCCCTATGGTGGCTTCAAGTGGGTAGAGAATGTTGATAATAGTTTTGATTTCAATGTTGCAGACGATGCGCCTACAGGTTACATTTTGGAAGTTGATTTGGATTATCCAGATCACCTTCACGATAAACACAGCGATTTTCCATTTTGTCCGGAACGCTCGAAGCCACCAGGGTCAAAAGAGGAGAAGCTCCTAACTACCCTCCTACCGAAACGGAAGCACGTTCTCCATTATCGTGCCTTAAAACAAGCTATTGCTAACGGTCTCGTGTTAGTTAAAATTCATCGCGTCATAAAATTCGAACAATCCACATGGTTGAAAAGTTACATAGACTTTAATACTATGAAAAGAACAAACGCCAGTAATGAATTTGAGAAAAACTTGTTCAAATTGATGAACAACGCGGTATTTGGCAAAACAATGGAGAACGTGCGAAAACATGTTGACATCAAACTTGTGACAAAGTGGGAGGGTAGGTATGGAGCTGAAGCCCTAATAGCAAAGCCTAACTTCCACAGCAGAGCCATCTTTAATGAGAATTTGGTTGCTGTGGAACTTAGGAAAATGGAGGTACTAATGAACAAGCCGGTGTATGTTGGCTTGACTGTTTTAGATGTGTCAAAAACGCTTATTTATGATTTTCACTACGATTACATGTTGAACAAGTATGATGAAAATAAATTGAAATTATTGTACACCGACACCGATAGCCTGATTTATGAAATCAAGTGCTCAGACATTTACGCTGATATGAAGCAAGACATTATGAAATTCGACACTTCTGATTATCCGGTTAATAACGTGTACAATATTCCGCAAGCCAACAAAAAGATATTAGGTCTCATGAAGGATGAATGTAGCGGAAAAATTGTAACAGAATTTGTTGGCTTGCGGAGCAAAATGTACAGCGTCCGTGTAGAAGGGAAGATTTAATAAAAAAGGCTAAAGGTGTGAAAGCAGGAGTTGTTAAGAAAAATATAGACTTTGATGATTATGTTTATTGTCTAAGAAATGTTAAAATGCAATCTAGAACGCAATATTCAATTAGGTCGAATCTTCACAAAGTACAAACTTTGAAACAAACGAAAATTGCATTAAGTCCTTATGACGACAAGAGATACTTGATAGAAAAAAGCACCGACACCCTCGCATGGGGTCATTGTAAAATTATTGAAATTGACAACGATGAAAATAAACTTATGTAAAAAGATTTGTTACAGAAAGGAGAAAGAAATGGTTGTTTGAATAAAAGATGTTCAATTTATTTTATGTCTACTTTATTAGAAAAAACCTTAACATATTTACATTAACTTATTTTAACTATATTTTAACTTATTTTAACTTATTTTAACTTATTTTAACTAAATTTTAACTTATTTTAACTAAATTTTAACTTATTTTAACTTTACTTTAACTTATTTTAACGTTACTTTAACATTCGTTCAACATTACTTTAACTATACTTTAACGTTCGTTTAACATTACTTTAACTATACTTTAACGTTACTTTAACATTACTTTAACGTTACTTTAACTATATTACATATCAGATTTTTTTATCCAACTATTATGTGAGCTATCGAATCCAAGCCATTTCACGTATACATCATTACCACGAGTCTTGAGAACTTTTTCTACAAGGTAAACATCTGGATATTGGACTTTCAGCAATTCTTCTTCGTAGAAACCACCTTCGATGGGTTGATTTTGGTAATCTTTCAGCTTGTATGTAACTGGTTTTGTTGATTTAACTTTATCCACGGTGAATATTTCCGTTGTCCAGTTGGGAGTATATCCTTTTTCAAAGATATTCTTAAACTTGCTAACTCGAACTCTGTCTCCAACTTTGAATTTTGATCTTTTCAGCGGAATTCTACGTAGTTTACGGATACGTCTCAACAGTTCTCTTGTATCTTCTACGGTGACATCTTTGGGTTTCATACCAATAGTACGATGCTTTTTATTATTGTACTTTGACATGAGAGTTGGTAAAAGATTAATCCATTTATAATTGCCTTGTAAGTTGAATTCAGGCCACATCATATTTTTTAGAGTGCGGTTAAATCTTTCAACAATTGAGGCTTTCAAATTACTATATGTAGAATAGAGATTAATGTTAAATTCTTGCATTAAACTCTTAAATTCAGAATTGTAAAATTCTTTGCCTCTATCAGTATGCAAATTTTTTGGAATTCGGCCTTGTTTGAGAATAGTTTTCATGGCCAAAGAAATATCCTTTCCATTCTTACTCTTTACAGCTACAGCCCAGGCATATTTGGAAAATATGTCTATAACTGTGAGCATGTATTAGAAACCTTTATTAGAATAAGAATAAGGTATCATTTCAACCAAATCTGCTTGCCAGGTTTCATCGATGCCACGCATTTGAACTTTTCGACGAGGATAATTTCTTCTAGCTTGTTTATGCAGTTCAGTTACAACTGTTAATTTTTGATCAGCCATCACTGTTGAATAAATTTAGCCTCTTTGATAATGTAATTTTGCTGTGATTCAATTTCTTTAAGTTTTTCGTTTACTCTATCCTCGATAATTCGAATATAAAGATTCAAATCATCAATAGCTGATCTTAAAGAAGATGTAATTTGAAAAACTGTTTTTATCTCGTTTTTAATAATTTTCTGTGCAAGTCTTAAATTTACAGCGTCTCGTTGCTCTTCAGCGTCTTGAACGTTGCAAAGTCTTTTGTTATCAATGTCGTATTGTTCACTTGGAGTAATTTTAAAACCAATTCCAGAAGGTCCAGGAAGTCCACGACTTGCAAGAGGCCGTGACAAGGGATGTCCAAACACATCAATGCTCATTTTAATACTAAGCTCTATTTGCTTGTACTCTCCTAATATATAATGCGAGCTTCACGTAGTTCTTCGATGATTGACATAATTTCATTATTATGGCTTGGATTACCAGCTTGCTGTGATGCTACTAGCAGACGTAAACGGTCAACTAGTTCATTGGGATCATCCCAATAGATGTAGTCTGGTTCAAATTGTTTCTTTGAAATCATAAATTGAGGTAATTTCTTTCCAAGATTCTTCTTCCTCTTTAAAACACCACTACCCTTTTTTGGCGTACCCTTAAAAAGTTTTGAAATGACAACAGTGTATTTAGAACTCCTGGTTACGTTGACAAGTCCACTGGAACTATAATTTTTTCGGTGTGCATTTGTAGCTACAAGAATTTCTTTATAATTTTCCAAATCATCTGAACTTATTAATGCATGATTAGGTTCTTGTCGAAATAAAAGTTCAAGCAACCCAGCAGTTTTTAAATATTTTTTCTTTCCAGCAAGTTGAATATGTGAACCTTCTAAATCAACTGGTGTATCACCAATAATAAAAGAACCATTAGGAAGCTTACGTACTCCATAAACCATGTCTAAAAAACTTTTTCTGTTTTTATTCAATAATTGAATAAATTTATTTGTCAAATTTTCATAATTAAGTTCTTCTCCTTCTTCTTCAAACTTGTTGCTCTTATCAAATAGACTGTCATTGAGTAGTGTTTTATCAAATTCCTCTTCCTCATCAACAGCAGTTGAGAAAGAAAAATCATTTTCCTCCTTTTTAACTTTTTCTTTCTTAATATTTTTGAAAGGTATGTCAGTTATGTTCACCAACTTTTCCAGAGGTGTTACTATTGGTTGAAAAGTTTCTTTCAATACTGTTTCTGCAGCCTCTTTACCCATTTTGAGTAAACGATGTTTCCGCCTAATAGCATCACTTGCTTTTGCTATTTGACGAAGTGTTTCTTGCTCTTTTCGATACATGTTTTCTTCGAGACAAGATAAACTATACTAATGAAAAATTCAATGAACTTCTTGTATTTATAGTGAAATGAAGCAATCAAATCCTCTTCTATATCTTCCTTCATTAAAATTACGGTCCTTATCAATAACAACAAATCCATATTTGTCTGATTTCCAACATTCTGAACATAAATCGCGAAATTGAGTATAACTCATATCTGTATTAACATGATCTTCGTATACATGTTTCAGATTCTTTTCATCTTGTCTAAATAGAACTAATAAATTAACATTATCTCGAACTAGATGTTTAGGAATACGAGCATACGTTTGACATAAATAGAAACTGTCAACGTTTACATGTCTGCCCATACAAAAGAAAGCTCTAACATTATCTTGCTTTTCACAAGCAATGTCATCAAAAACGAATATTGAATTTGCTTTAGCATCTTTTGGAGATACTACTTCTTCATGTTCACTAAATGGAAAATACTCAACACCATCTACCTGACTGATTACATTTTCTAAAAATTTATATTTCGGTTGCTGTAGAGATTTAGAGTAGAGGTAAATATTTTCAAAACTTAGACCATTTGGATGTATTATTAGGGAAAGAAGAGCATTTGTTTTACCACAATTTGAGGGGCCACAGAAAACTGCTCGAATGCTGTCTGAAAACAGACTACCATGACGTTTAATCTTTTTTTCATTAGTTTCAACATCTATACTAGAGATTGGCAGTGCGACAGGTTGTTTCGTGAACTGCATCTTGACAGTAACTGCTTGAAAATCTATAAATACCCAGCTTTTATAGTCAATTTGTCAGTTTCACGTCAACCATTGTAGAGTGAAGTATGATTCTGCATCAGGAGGTGAAAAAAGGTCGCTATCAAGGAAAAGGTTTAATCAATCGTATCATCAATAGTTTACCGTTTGAGTTACATTTACCAGGATACCAATTCTGTGGGCCTGGTACAAAGTTGGCTAAGCGTTTGTCACGAGGTGACCAAGGAATTAATCCACTGGACGCTGCATGTAAACAACACGACATTGCATATTCGCAAAATCGTGAAAATATTCAAGCTAGAAACGAAGCAGATAAAGTATTAGCTAAGAAAGCGTGGGAACGTGTTACAGCTAAAGATTCTGGTGTAAGTGAAAGAGCAGCTGCTTTAGCTATATCCGGAACCATGAAAGCTAAATCAAAGTTAGGTATGGGAATGAGAAGAAGAAGAAAATCATCTATAAAGAAAAAGAGTAAAAAAATGTGTAAAAATAAACGAGTAGTGCTAAGAAAAATTGTTGATGCTGCACGAAAAAGTATGGCTCCTGGTAATAATGCTGAAGAATCAATTCGAGCAGCTATAGTTGGTGCACGAAAAGCAATAAAAAATGTTGGTGGTAAATCCAAAATTTTATCACCTAGAATTCTTCCTGTACCTACTAAAGTAGGTGGAATTTTACCGCTAGTTCCAATTTTTGCTGGACTTAGTGCTTTAGGAGCACTTGCTGGTGGTGCTTCAGGAATAGCAAGGGCTGTTAATAAGGCTAAAACAGCTAGTGAACAGCTTGCAGAAGCTCAACGTCACAATAGATCCATGGAAGCCATATCGCTTGGAAAGGGATTACACCTTAAACCTTATCGACAAGGACTTGGTCTCCACTTGAAACCCTACATTCAAGGAAAAGGAATTAAAAAACGATCATCAAGAAAGAAGAAGAAGAAACGAGCATCAAGAAAAAAGAGAACAACAAGAAGGAAAACAAAAAACTTGTTTTGAAGCTACCTCACCGTCCACTGACTGATTTTGATCTGTTAAAATATGCCAAAGCTGTCAAAATACCGCATTTTCGTGGTATTTTTATGCGAAATGAACTACCTGTAAGTGGTCCTTGCAAGTATGAATCAGGAATAATTAATCTTGATAATAAAGAAGGTGCTGGAACACATTGGGTAGCATATAAAAAATTCAAAAACGAAACAATGTATTTTGATAGTTTTGGCAACCTTGCTCCACCAACAGATCTTGTCATTTACTTGGGTGATGGTAGCTTAATAAAATATAATCATAAAAGATATCAAAATTATGATACATTTGTATGTGGACACTTGTGTCTCAAATTTTTGTGTAATCAACTTAATGTTAAAAGTTGTTTTAACCTTTATAAAAGTGTGTAACTATTGTAAGCTTTCAGTATACAATCTGACAGCAACATGAGTGATTCGTTTACTTTAACGTTAACAGGAAATTCTTCAGTTCTGGGAGCTGAATATTTCCCTCCAATAGAACTAAATTCAAATAAAAGTTATGTACTTGGTCTTGTTGAACTATTGACTTTTAATTCAATTCCCAATATTGATAAAGGAAATAACAAGTTTTACGTTGGAAATCAAGTAATTGATATTCCAACTGGAAGTTATGAAATTAAAGATATTGAATCATATTTACAAAATTCTGTAAAAACTGGAACTGTTATTAGTATAAAACCTAATAATAATACATTACGCAGTATTGTTGAATCTAATTTACCAATTGATTTTAAACCTAAAGATTCTATTGGTAAGTTGTTAGGATTTACATCACAGAAACTATCATCTCATAGAGCACATACTTCTGATTTACCTGTAGCCATTTTAAAGGTTAATTCAGTTAGAATTGAGTGTAATATCACATCTGGAGCGTATATAAATAACCAAAAAGTTCACACTATCCATGAATTCTTCCCCAGCGTTCCACCAGGATATAAGATTGTGGAAGTGCCTGCACACGTCATTTACCTTCCGATTGTCACCAAGACAATACATAATATACAGCTGCGAATTGTTGATCAGGACGGTGATTTAATCAATTTTAGAGGAGAAACTATAACAATTCGATTGCATATAAAGTCTTTGTAATGGGAATCGTTTATAATCAAAGAGCTGTTGTTGGTGGAAACTATAAAAGTCAGACAACATGCAAGAATCCAATCAGTCTAAATTTATCTCACAAGGTGTTAACACCTCAGAATCGCCTCTTCCTACAAGAACTAGGTCTAAAAGTTCAAGGAAAGAAAATAAGACAACAAGACAATTAATCTACATATTTTTTGGTTGCTGTTGCAATAAAAATGGACGAACTTCTCAATATTCCAGCAGCAGTGAATTTCGATGAGTCAATAGCTCATTATGAAATTCATGCTCATCAACCATACGCATCTTCATCTTTTAACAATAGCGATGAAATTCGAATCGCAGTACAACATCAAGACTTGTGCATTTTACCTAGTAAAAGTTCATTACACATTTTTGGTAGATTAACTAAAAATGATGGAATTACTCTTACACAAAACGTACATTTAAGTAATAATGCTGTATGTTTTTTGTTTGATGAAATTCGCTATGAACTAAATGGTATTGAAATTGATCGCTGCAAATACGTTGGACATACTACAATCATGAAAAATTACACCTCGCAAACATCAAATCAGCTAAATTTTATTGAAAATGCTGGATATTCAAAAATTGCAGCTGATGCAAGACTTGTATTGGAAAATGGATATTTTGACGTCACAATACCACTCAGCATGATTTTGGTTTTGCTGAAGATTATAAAAAAATCATTATGAACGCTAAACATGAACTTATTTTAACAAGAGCACGTTCTGACGTGAATGCCGTAATTCAAACAGGACAAGGAGGGGATGAGGAATTTAA